AAAATAAAAAGAAAGAAGGCTAAAGGTTGGGGGTTTTGTTGAATAAGTGAGTTTTGAGAAGTCCATTTTGATATGGAATTATGACTTTAAAGACAGTGGATGTCCCACACGTGTTTGAAAAGAGAAAGGTGAACCCGATTTTAGAGCTTGATTGTTTTTCCACTTGTATCGAAAAATCAAGTTGCTATTGCGAACGCGTGGAGGCCCGGACTCCATTCGTTTATCTGGCCACTTTTATTTCTAGATATATTTAATGAATCATTGTATTTAGCTGTGTGTTTACTGCATCAGTTTATTGATGCAATCACATTGCCCTCTATTTCATAATCACATTGGCCTCTATCTCGTATGTGGCATTTCTGACCTTGATGCTGTGTTTATCAGCAGCTGCATTTGCTCATGTTTGCTCATTCTAAACGACATGAGGAGCTCAATGTGAGCTGAGCCCTGTAACTGGGGGAAATAATCGAGAGGAGACCATAATGAGCGCAAATGTGAAGGCACTGTAAAAAAAATAATAATAATAATTATTTTCTACAATGTATATGGAGAGAGAGAGAGAGAGAGAGACTTTTAGAGAGAGAGACTACAGATAGCGTCCATACCTTCTCTTTGCTCGGTGTCTCTTTGCTCCTCTGTTTCAGCTTACACTGACACTTTGATCCGGATCTGCTGAGCGGGCCAAATGTTTCTGGACTGTTGTTGTTGTTGGTTTGTCAATGATGATAAACGTACCACGTTTTTTAAAAAAAATGAAGGAAATAGCTGCAGTTGTTTGTTGGCGGTTGTTTTCTCCACGGTTTCCATTTAAAATGATCGACCTGACCTCTCTAACCTGTCCTGTTCTGACTTTTTTTTTTTTAACTAATTGCCCAAAAGATGTTTTAAACAAACCCCAAATCGTCAGCGGGACATAAAAGAGCCACAGTTCAGGTGTGATAACAATAAAATCATCTTTCATTTCATTTACTTTCACATAAAGGCTTTTCTATGTGGAGGCCTGCAGCAGCTTTTCTCCCTGACGTTTTGGAAGCTAAAAACAAAAACCCCCAGAACGTTCGTTTTCTTCGCGCTATATTTCACAGCCTGTTTACAAGCTCTTTTCAGTCTGTGGTTCTGCCGCGGAGCGCAGAATGAAAGCGCACACTGTTTAAATGAGCGCACATTCATCTGTCCTTTAAACGCTTCTCTTATTTTTGCCAAAGACAAAAGAAAAGTAATAATAATGATAGAATTACAACATTTAATATCCATGAAAATATCACATATAGAGAACATCACGATATATTCACACATGTCAGTCAGTTCAGAGGGCGTCTCATCCCTGTGTGTGGAACATTACAAAAGCAGCTTAAATTAAATTTAAATAACGAACACAGTCAATAATAAAATGTAGATATATATACAACTGTGCAACATGGCAACACCACACCACCACAATGTCTCGGGGTCCACATCGATTTCCACGGGACAAGCCGATGAGGCCGTGTTAGGTCCGCTCTGTTATCAGCTGTCCGAGTCCACCTCGCTCTTACTCTCTTCGGGTTTCTCCGCGGACGTTTTAGTGGATTTGTTCCATTTCTGAGAGTTCTCTGATTCTTCCGATGAAGACCTTTTCTGCCTCCTCCACTTCGCACGTCTGTTTTTGAACCACACCTGCGTGATAGAGAGAGAGCACACTTTGAACGTGAACCTGTGTGGCGACTGATGCTGAGCACGGCCACAGTTCAGCCACACCTGGCAGTGTCTCCGGCCCCTTATTCTTAATCTATTGTTTTCAATGGATTATTATAACTATCACGATGATGATAATGATGATGATTGTTTTGTTGTTGTTGTTGTTGCTGTTATTGTTTTGTTTTTGCTTTGAAGCAGTGTTACTTGCTGCACATTGTAGATAAGCATCGACTTTGTTTTCAGAATCAGGGCAGAAGATAAACTGTTGCAAACAGAAACATTTAATAAAATTGAATTAAATTACATTTCTGTTCAATATTATACAACCTCTAACATACTGATTTTTGTGAATTTTGTTGAATAATAATAATAATAATAATAATAATAATAAAGGTGAGCAAACTTTAATTATTATTATTATTATTATTATTATTATTATTATTATTATTATTATTCAATAATAATACCATTGTGAGCGCGTGTCAGCCGGGTTTTAGAACTCACTGCACGTGAGTGTGTTTATGAGTGGAGTGAAAGCTTTGAAAGAAGATAGCTTTTAAAAATAAAAGCGCTGACCTCGACCTTCTCCTCGCGGAGGTGGACCTTGCGGGCAAGTTGTTCGCGAGTGCCGACGTCCGGATACTTCGTTTCTTGGAAGAGGCCCTCCAGAGCCTCGAGCTGCTCGTCCGTGAAGATGGTGCGGTGCCTTCGCTTCCTGCGGCAGTGCAGCTGGTTGAGGAGCTGCAGCTCGGTCCGCGACAGGCTGCTCATGTTCATGTAGGACATCATCTGGTGGGGCACCGGAGAGATCAGCACCGAGCCCGGGCTGTCATAGCCTGCATGACGGACAGACAGCACACATCATGGCTGGGTGGAAATCGTATATATACACTCAATTATTTGGCGTATTAAAAGCACTCCGTTTTTTGTTTTTTTTT